GATTTAAGGTCTAACAACAAGCTTTTATGTAATAAGCTTTTCAAAACATATCAGATGGAAAACAAAGTTTTTCATCAGTCAAAAACTGGTAACTAGCCACCACAATGAAGTAGTGAAGGCAACTACAAACCAAAGGATTATTACATACAGAATCTCCAGTAGAGAAAGGAGTCTGTTAATGAACTTTGGTGGGGCCTCATAGTTTAACTCTTTAACTTGGTCTTTTAAACCTATTATGTAGACAAACAGAACACTTGAACATACCTGGCAGAAACCAGATTGAAAGAAGTATTCTATGCACAACAGATTTTAATAGAAAATAAGGATCTCAAATAGCAGAAAAGCCTACTTTCATTGGCAAATGCCTCGATGGTATTTCCATGAGTATGACTGGAACAGAACTAGTTTCATAAAATGGAATCACAGAAATGAAAGTTTTGGAAAAGATGTGGACTATTTTCTTACTCTGATTTCATAATTTGCATTAAACAGAGAAATAAAACCCATAGAACTGAAGATTTTGTGGAAATAGTAAGATTTCAAAGAGACATTTTTCAAGAATCGTAACTAACGTACTTGCAGAACCATCCTTCAAGCAACATACATATTCAATTGCAGCAATTAAGGCAGTAATTTTGCCAATGTAGTTATAGGATTGCTTAATAGAAAAGAGGTTTCCTCAGTCTGCTGAATATGTTAGTGTTGCCTGACATCCATAGCTATTCACAGCTGTAACCAGCCTGCACCCCACTACCTCTACATAAAATCAGTTGTCTCTGTAAGCAGACTTGACAGACCTAACAAAAAATTTTACTGTGAATGGAAATAAAACGAGGCACAAAAAAAAAAAAAGTGTCATTACCATACCAGAACTCTTTGTTTTCCATAAAATTTGAGGGCAAAAAAAATTAAGTCTTTAGGATGTGATAAACAATGCTGATGGGCATTCGTTTTTGACTCAATTTCCTCTCTTCCTACTGTGCAACAGTGAAGTTGTTACGATCCAAATTACCTCAGGATGACCCAGAAAACTGCCTCAACAAGCTCAACCTGAGAACTAAGCTATATTGCTACAATTTCATCTCCCTGGAACCCTTAGCATATACACTGAAAAAGAAAAAAACACAGAAATACAAAAAAAAACACACTTATCCTTTGACTCCATCTAAATTATGACTTTGCAATGTAAACTTCATGTGGACTTTGTAAGACACATAGCAGTATTCCACTGAACATTTATAAACCTAAACCAGGAAGATAACTATTACATTTAATCCACACACCTACCTCAATTGTAACTGTTTGCTCAGTTAAATCTAATCAGTTCATAAGCCTTTAAAGAAATTTTACTTTCCCAAAATAAGTTGTCAGATAAATAAACTTCAAAGGCAAAAGAGAACTGGAAACAATACGTGCAGCTACTAACCAGGGAAAGGTCACAGATTAGGTTAAAAAAAAAAAAAAAGAAAAAAAAAGAAAGAAAACCAACAGTAGAAATCAGGCTATAAGCACAGAAAGCCATGGGGAAGCTTTCCTTTCTTTACATTTTAACTACTAGATTTCTACTTGATTGCAGGATGTGGGTGCTTGTTTTCCTTCAGCATTTCTGTACCTGTTTTTAAAATAGTTGAGGAATTATATTCAAAATCATGAATTTACCAAAAAAAATGTAGACCCTTATAAGGTGGTCATAAATTAAGATCAAAGCTTGAGAAAAAATATATTTAATCTGTAAAATACAATCCATTCATTTAAGCCTTTTGAAAAATGATAAGAACTGCTACCTTTGTCAGCCTCTGAACTTCTGCCATAGATGGCCAAGAAGCCTCCCAAAAGATGTTATGAATACTGCACCACATCAATACTACTTTCTAGCAGTCACACAACCAAGTTCTCTTTAATAGCATCAAGGCAAACCCAGATACAAATAAAAGCTGTAAGCAAACTTTAAATATTGAACACCTATGAAAAAAAACCCCTACTACTATTCTGCTGTTGAGTTTTGAGAACTTCTAATAGTTTTGATTACTTACGACAAAAGTCGGTCAACTTTTGGTCCATTACGTCCCTGAAAGATAACAGGTGGCTTGTATACCTTCATTATTCCTTACAACCTATACACTTCCTCTGCTTCTGATGCTCCTGGTCTCTTTATTTATGAAGCAGCGATGATTTTGAAGTTATTTATAAACATTAACTCAATAAATTCCTCAGTGTCGTGCCAGATACCAACTCAGTGAATCATATTCCTGACAATATATTTATCATGGCTAGAAGAGAACGTAAATTTATACTCAGGGGTGGCACACAGAGGCATGTCATGAACTCATCTTGTATTTTAAAATGTTAAATAACTCTGAAGTTATGAGCAAATACCTATGTCGACTGAGGTTGCTCATTACCAAATAACCAGTGAAATTTGCATATACTGCCTAGCACTCTGACAAAATGAAAAATAACTCTTAGGACAAAAGAAAGCCTTCACTTCTGAGGATCAAACAGAATCTTAAGTGTTTTAAAGCTTATCATTGTTATATTTAAATAACTGCAAGTTAAGGAAGGTTAAAAGTTATCCTCAAATACTGCCTGTTTTGTTTTAATATGAAAGCACATACCTGTGCTAAGGTTTCTTTTAAGAAAATGACAATTTAAAAACTTACTAGGTGAAATCATTTAATTGACCACTCGACCTATAATATTGGTATTACAAAAACCTCAGTGTTTTACACTGCATATGTGGTCCTAGTGGCTTTATAGACTGTTGTTCAATGCATATGAACTGATGCAAACATTTATTTAACACGCTCTGAAAAGTAAAATTACTATTTTAGTGCTTTTATTCAAAACATAAGACATCTAAAGGATTTCTAAAACAGCAATCTTTGAAAAATATAGGACACTTCTGTTGACAAAGATTTAATTAAATTCTTCAGCTTCCAGATTCAGTAAGATTCTTGAACAGCTATGAAAGCAAAGTATAACATCAACAAGTTGAAGATCTCCCTTTAATATGCCATTCTTCACCGGCCACTCCTGTGGCAAAGTATTTGTGAGGCAATACTTGTTTCTATTTGTGCCTAGGGAAGCCCTGAAGTTACAAGTCACTGAAATTAGCCCTGTTTCAAAAGCAGGAGGTTAGACCAGATGATCTTTACAGGGTCCTTTTCCAACTTCACTTATTACGAAAGCAGATCTTTTATTCAGACCTAGAATTAATCACCCAAAATGTATTCTCCTAAACTTTCTTAATGTGGAAGTTGTTCGAACACTACTGGATTGAGGGATTTTTAAGGGAAGGGATATAAGACCAGCACTTAAAAGAGAATTATTATCGAGTCACACCGTAAACAGAAACCCTTCGTCCCAAGAGACACATTTCAGTAGCAATAGATCCTGCAAAGCTTGCATTTCTGTTGATGCATCTCAACTCCATATTCCTTCCCATACAGTCACATTCATTCCCTTCTCCTGTGCTCTCACGTCTTTCTGCTCCCAACAGTACTCAATTCTGCCCACTCTGCCACTGAGACTAGAAATGTTGCTCACAGTCCTGTCAAAAGTAATACATACATAAGTGCTTTTTTCCCCAACTATTTACTATTCTCTTATCATAGGGAGGCTGTTGTTATTACAGTCTGAAAGTTGAAAGCGCGTAAGATGTAGCTCAGAGTTAATTGAACTGTATTACAATCATATGCTTACAAAGACAAAAAAACAGAGACAGCAGAATATTCGTGATACGTTCTGATAAAATTGTGTTTCTCTTAGGCTTGTTGACACAAAAGCAGTATTTTCCCACAAACAATCTGGCTATCAACATGAGTAAGTACTCATTCTAGTTCACCATCTTTTTTCATGGGCAGAAAAAAAAACAAAGACAAATCAAAAACAGGACCAGATTTCAAAGAGGACGTTATCTTAGATGAAAAGAAGCAGAGCACACAGATCAAATGAGAAGTGAAGCCATAAGAACACCACCTAATAATACGGCCTTTATGCATAAGAAGTTTCAAGAGACTTTCAGAGCTCTTCATACGGGGCAGCACTTCTTTCTGGTGACATCCATTTACAGTGCCTCTCTGCTAAGTATTTCAGCACTAGAAATTTCAATTAATAAAGCCTTCTAAAGGAACAGAAAGGGAAATAACATCAAAAAAACATTACAGTGGAACAAAAAAGATCAAAAGAAAACAGCTGTTTAAAAAATCTGTCAAAAGGAAAGAAACATAAAAAGAGACCTTTATCATGACAGCATATTTACACGTAAACACCTTAAACAGACAGATTTGTAATGAGCTTCTTGATGTTCATTTTTAAACAAGGGAACTGTCAGATAAAGCAATTCCTCCTCAGATTTAAGAAGTGTCACATACTGCTGGAAAGACACAGGCAAGTATGACCAATGTTGATGTCAGTACTTTTCTCCACAAGTGTAGAGAATTCATGTAATATATTATATGAACTGTTTGTAAATTGGCCATCTGTTTTCACACACCTCCACGTAAACTAAGCAAAAAGTGTAAAAATAGAAAAATCTTCAGTACTATTGCCAGTGAGACCCAGCACATTAACACTGTTCCTGTTAGCACTGAAAACTCTTATGTGCATTTCACCGTCAATCTGGACCACTTACTTTTCATTCAAGGACCCCATTCCTTACATCTGTACTCTGTGTAACCCACATCACTCCTAGCACCCCGTCTGGAAGGGAACAGTTAATCTCTGGGAGCGGTTTGATGGTAAGACAATCCAGGACTGCTTCACAGGCAGTGAAGACAGTCCAAGACCTTTGTTTTTTCACTTTGTGATACCACTACCCCAAAAGACCCTGCCATTTCATACACTATCCCAGAAACTCTCCAAACAGCACCAATCTGTACTGACAGGTAATGAAAGAAGGACTATGACAGTTTGGAAGTCCTCATCATTTAATTTCTCATTATCAGTGAAGGGCAACTATACTCTTCAATTGAACAGCTTGCTCACTTGCAGTACCATACCTTCTCTGGATGTCCAATTCTTCTTGTGATGGGCCATTTTGTACTTGAGAGGGAAGCTGTGAATTCTGTCGAGGCAACGTAGGACCTAAAAGTGAAGACAGATCATAAATCAATGGTCTGGACTTCTACTCCGTGAGGGGGGGGGGAAGAGTGCAACAATCTAGGCACATGAACAGCCACTGCATGACATAGAAGCTATCTACTCCTGCTTTGTAAGCCAAACAAGCTCAACAACATAATACAGCAAATAAAAGCTGCAACAAACATTACCTGATCTGCAAAATGGATTTATTTCACATGGATGAAACTTTTACAGAAATGCAAAACAAGTTTTTATAGATGATGGGACTTAACAAAAGCTTTGAAAAGCACCCATGTCTGTTCTTTTCTTAAAACAGTGAGCAAATGTTCTTGGAGGAATAGAAAAGGCTCAAAAACTATAGCACTCACCTAAATAGAACACTGGAAGTTAAAAAAAAAAAAAGAAAAAAAGAAGAACAGGAGAAAAAAAACATCAGAAGCTTATCACCATACTGAAAGAAGGAAAACAAAGTACGTTTCTACAAATCACACCAAAACCAAAATTCACTCAGATTTTAGCTTCTCAACTTGGATCAGAGAAAATCCTTTTTGGGGTAGGCAAATATTGTATCAAAAGAAAAAGGCACATAACTATTGCAAAAACTGCACGCTCTACTAAACACAAGAGATGTAAACGAGAAGGACATCACTTATCTGTGACTTTTTACTGGTGGGCAATTCTAAAAGCAAAGAGGCTTTCCTACTTTGCTTGCAAATACCTGTACAGTACAAAATTATTTAAGAATTAACAAAATTGAAGGACAGAAAATTGGAATTGCATACAGGACATAGTAAATGCTTTTTTTTTTTTTTTAAAGCTAAAATGGTTGGTAAAACAAAATCAATTAGATGGCAGCTACATCTAAGATTACAGAACTTAGCATCAAAGAGAAGCAGGATAATAAAAATTGATCCATTTCCAAGGAGGTCCCAAAGCAAAACAGGAATTTCTTGCCAAGATTCCACAAAAGTAGTTAAGAGTGGGGGGGTTGTAATGAGATCTCATCCATCTCAAATGTCAAAATGTAGATGCCGTTTGCCATCTGAACTTGGGAAAGTCATCCAAAACATAAAGAGATCATATGCAACACACTGAGACATAAAGGACAGTTAATCTGCCTCAGATTCAGCAAACAAGTGCCCTGTTCAAAGGCAACACAACAACAACAAGGTTACTCAAAAAAACAGCACTGTATTCTTTCCACTGTCATCATGCATTCAACGGATCCTAAATACGCTAAAACTTTCTGTATCCTACAGTTAAAGTGTAACATATAAACTTACTTATAAAATACAGAAGTGGAAAGCGTATTACAGAGGTTATCTTTCTTATTTATTTTTTTCAGCGAGCATCAGGTCCTCATGTCCAAGTGCACGAAAAAAAAAGTGCCTTGGATGCACTACTTTTGCTTGGAGCATCATTAAGAGCTATCAACAAATGTGAATCTTTATTACTTTTGATGCAGAAGACCTACCTATAATGACAATTAATAATAAAATTGTCAGTAAACGGAAATATACTGGTCATCTGGAAAGTTTTTCTGCTTTAAAACTTCTGAAATTAGATTTCTCTGCTCATCTTCCCTGCATGACAGCTGCCAGGCTTTTATGCCCATTAAGCTGTGACTGAAGCTCTCAGGCAGCCCAGGAAGCAGCCTGGCTGTCTGCACCATGCTCCAGCCTTTCATGGCCTTTTAGAATTAGACACTATCCAGGAGCAGCTGTATGGCTGCACAAAGGTACTGGATGCCACTAAGTGCTGGCTACGTCTCACATATCCCTTTCAATCAGACCTGTCATTTATCAGAACAAACCACATAGGTCTAAGCATTAGAAAACAAAGAACAGAAATTAGAAAAAAATAAGAACAACTTTTGATGATGGCTTTGCTCATTCACTAACTGGAACTATAACACAGTGGAAACAACTAGATCAAACCTACACCCACATAAAGTGTTCACTGAAGACAGAAGGAAAAGGAGGGAAATGAAGTAACACAGATCGGTTGTTGTATCTTGCTTTTGTTATTCTACAAACAGAATTTGTACTTAAAATGATCATGTTCTACCATGGATCACAGCTTTGTGTCTCATTGCCTCAAACTTCTTTGCAGAATACATGGTGCCAAAACACACAAGCCAAGCTTGCAGAACCTAATCAACCCACCCTAGCAAGTTCTGGTACTTCCTTTGCATCTGTACATGCAAGAAACCCAAACACCTGCTAACAATTAACACGGTTAGGTTTAGAACCTCACATTTTTGCCATAAGAAAATGCAACCTGAGCATAACAAAGGCTTTTAGAAAAGAAATGGTGAGCTGCAGAGCCATCTGGCCTGTTCACCAACAAGTTTCTCTCTGCAAACACACACTTATAAAAACCCCACCATGCTGATGGATGTAGGCAAGTTAGAAGGTACACATCAAGTGGCAAAGCATATGTCTGATGCTATAAATTCATTTGTTTCAACAGCCAAGACCACCACTTCCTTGCTAAACTGCAACCCTTCAGAAGGGGGGCAAGATGCTATAAAAACTTAAAGCAGAAGCAAGCAGGAGCTGGGTAATAAAAAGCTTTCTCAGAGGCTTCAGGATACTTCAGTAACATCAAGCTCACAGAGAAGCAACCACAGACCCTGCTTGGAAGAAGCCTGAAGCAGCAGGATTACTATCTTGAAAGATCAGTAGAAACCAAGTACAACGTGAGACTGAATGGTCCACGCATTTTAAGTTTCAAGGAAAATCTAACATCTTTCCTTCTCTCAGGAATGTACAGACAGTGCACTCTGGCATATTTTAACAGAGGATATGATTTCATATTTCATCCATCTCCTTTAAAGGCTTTCCGTTTTTCAGCCTGTTCTCACCTTTGCATCCCCCTTTCTCTGCAACAGTTTGGACAACTGGCTAATGAGAGATGGACTGGAAATCCAATGCATCAGGAATCTCCCCAGGGGAAAAGCCTGCCAAAGCTGCCTCGCCCAGCAGGTCAGGGTCTGTCCTGGTTCTTCCCACAGATGACTCTTGGCACCACTCAAAGCAGGACATCAGGCTGCAGGCAGCTGCATGGGCCAAATTAAGCATCTGCAGTATCACCTTTCTAAAATTGACTTAACTCCACATGACTGTTCAAGAGCTGAATTTATTAATTCCAGTTGCATAATGCTATGAAGGTGCAGCTAGCATGTTGGCAGCAGAAACGCATGATTTTCTCAATGCCTTTCAGCCTGCTTTCCCCCCACCCCTCAGTATCTGCAATTATATTGTCCTGCTCTGGAGCTTTACTTCAAACTCTTCACCTCGCCTTTTTTAACATCCCTTGTCTTACCTTAGTAGCATTGCCAAAGCACCTGAAGTCAGTACATTCCTGCAAGGCAGTAACCATAAAAAACAGCAGGGTATCTACTATTCGATATAGGAACAGTCTATGAACTACAGGATATCCAAGGACCTGTACAAGGTCTATACAACACTACAGAAGTGCATCTCTTCATTTAGTTTGCTTCAACAGGCTTGCTTCAGAGCTAGTCATACAGGGGTAGGTCAAGCCAACAAACGTATAAAAATGCAACTCCAATACAACTGCACTGTTCAGAATACAGCAGTAAAATACAAGCTTTTAAAAATCAAGTGTCTTTAGAAAAACTTGACCAACTGTATCACAGGAAATTTATTTGGGGGTGAAGATATACAGAGAAGTAGTTATAAAAACAACCCAGTGAATTCCCATTGCTTAATTCCTCAGCGTATCAGCGCCAAAACTACATAACATATCCATTATGTAGCCTGATATTCCAATCTAAGTAGGAATGACTTTTCAAGGACAAATGCAGTGAAAGCAGACAGCAAGTTAATTTGTATAGGCAAACGCTATAAAGGTAAGTGCATTAAGAATAGTAATGAAAGCCTTTTCTAAAAGGTTATAAAGGACAACTTGAACAGATCTACCAAGCAAAGAACACACTCCAGACGAGAGTTCAAAACTAGAACAAAAAGATACAATTCTGCTGTGGAATGTAAGAACTTTTATAATGCAATAATAAAATTGTGTATTTTAAAATAAATGCTTTTTCATCTTTTTAAACAAATGGAAAACAGACTTTATTTATTTCCCACTACCAATCCCTAAAATAGGAAAAGTAGCAATGGCAAAGTAAGCTCTTATTTGTCTCTACTTCTTCTGCTCAGAGCCTGTCCTACTGCTGTGCATCACAGAATAAAACCTTGGCAGTGCTGCTATCTACTCCTCAGCAAAAGCAAAGTGGCACCACTCACCTAGACCTAGATTTGGATTAGGGATTCATAAATAAAATTACAGCAGTCAAAAACCAGGGCATTAACAAGTAAAAAAAAAAAAACCACTACTCAAGTACTTCTGCATAAGCTAATCATTTTCCATTTAAGACTTCCCAATCCTTCCAATATCTACATCCTCATATATGGCTCTCTTTTTATAACTGCCTTCAATTGAATTAATAGACTCATTTTGATTTATTTTAGCAGAAGGATAAGTAGGTTATTTTTTTCATTCTTTTTATATAGAAAGTCAGTACTTTTCATTTCACTTCAAAGATACTTTTAGTTGATCAAGGTAATAAAAGGGGCCAAGAATAAAAAAGACCTTCAAAAACACATAAAAATACATTTGAATTTGAGTAGAGATAAGCCTTCTATCAAAGCCGGCAGAGACTCCTTATCAGCAGCAGCAGAGCCCTGAAAATAAAACTGCTGGGTGTTACACTTGGCTTGGGAACAAGCTTGTTTGGCGACCTTACGCTTGTGGCTTCCCTCCATACCACCATTCTACATAGGAGGAAACAGAGACAAAAGCTTCTAGAATATAATACTAAGGTCACTTAACAAAATCACACAGTATGTCTTTAAAACGAAGTCAAAAGTTAAATATATCAATCTACTGCAAGCTATTACATTTTTTCCCTGATTCTGTAAAAATGTCTTTAAATAGCTATCTTACAAGCAGTAACTGCTTTTGTATAATGCTAAAGAATTGAACGTTTATAACAAAGTGATATTTCCTCAATTACATTCTTGACTGTATGACAAAGCTGCTTGAAAAAGGCTTCAGATTTAGTCTAGCTACAAATTCTACTGGGAATATTTAAGACAAATACAACTCTCAGGAGAAAAATATATTATCCAATGCTTATTAAACAGAACTTTATCCATAAAATTAATATACTTTTACCTATGATTGCTATTCAGTTAAGACCAACTATCACTTTTTCATGAAATTCTCTGGATTTCCAGTCCAAACCTCAACACTTCCATGTGATGTAACAGTTATCCTCAATAACCATACAAATCAGAAATACCACAAAGGTAAAACTTAGAGGTGAGCATATCACTGAAAACTGAGCAACTCCCCCTGCCCTTCTCCATACCACAAAGAAGTTGATGATCGTTTTGATAATCTTACACGCAACTCAACTGGAAATATTTTGTCTAAGCAGCAGCTCAATTTATTTCATATCAGGATTTTGGCATATAAATCAGGATTGGTTATTACAGAAGCTAACAGTTAAAAAAACCTCTCTTTAATCAATCCAATATACAAAAACAAGAGGAAAAGCTTACTACCAAAAACAGAGATATTAGCTTGCTCTTGACAACACAGGTAATACCATGTCACATTCCTATATTCTGACAGGGAGTGCTGACAGCCTGCTCCAGAGTCACCGAAAGGACAGGTACTGAATAATTACACCATTGCAGCAGAATCATTTTTCTCTTGATACAAGTTTTAGCATGATGAGAAACACAAGAGTGCAAGGAGAAGCTCTCCTTCCCCTACTTCCCGTGTACTTCTCATTTCAGCCTCCTATAATCTCTATACGTAATACCATGAGGCAACTCCAGTTTCCACCCCCAGTTTGTATTTCCCAAAGACGCTAAATTATTCAGTCTATCATATGAATAAGTCCATTCAAAGATTTAATTAACTATCTTGCCAAAAGAGAAAGGACCATATGTAGCTGTAATTCCAAAGCTGTGAATAAAGCATGCATTTTTTCTTCTGTAAAGGTTTGATTCTTTAATAACTAAACAACCTAACTCCCAGGGTTACTAATCATTTTAAAGAAACATGACTTCCAGTTCCCTTTTTACTGTTGGATCAGCAAAATAAAGACATCTTGGGAAGGAAAAGGTTCTTCTCTTCTTCCTGATTTTCATATGAATTAACACATGATGTAAACAAAAAAAAAAAAAACCCAAAAATTGAATCCTACATGCGCATGATTATATTAAAAAGAATTAGTATAGGCTTACTGACAGTTGTACAACACCTTTCAGTTTTCCCTCACCAGCTTTCACTGCAAACAACTTTAAGAAGCAAACTGCAAATATACCTGTTTTCTTCTGTTAGCAAAGCCTTCCTGGGACTAAAGACAAAGGTGCTACAAAATAATACTACTTCCAAAAACATATTCTGCAGTAAAACTGAATGATATCTGTCATCTTTATTCAAGACAATTAAGACCAATTACCAAATACCTGGAACACACAGCATGCAACCTTTAAGCCAGAAATCTTCTTCAAATGACCTCTTAAACTGATGACATATTTGTCATTTGGATAAGGTGTAGTACCTCTTGACTGCCTGCAACAATTACTTTAATGAAATCTTCCCAAGTGAGTGCCAGAAACAAAGTTTGGTTTCTTTTAATACATCTCCTGAGCAGGAGTCCGTAGCCTCAGTAGGCTGCCTTCAAGTCTCAGCAGAAGGCTTCCACTCTGCATGCTGTCCTTCTGATATGGTGTGCAGGGGGCCCAGCTGCTCTGCTGGTCTGCTCAGCAGAAGCACAGGGATTGCTTACACAGCTACTGCAGCCACACAAAATTGAGTGAGAACACATTCAGTTCTGTATTATTCCAATAACCAACATTCAAATGCAAGAGAAATTGCAATAATCACATAATCAGCACTCCATATCAAGGAGAGAAAAAAAACTAGACATGCAGCACATTTCAAACAGTTTCACTGCCAAGCCAGCTTTGAGAAAAACACTTTTTATTTTTTTAAATCAGGAAATTGCTGTTTACAGTAATGTTTTTCTTCTGCTCCAACTTCCAACGCTTTCACTCTGCCTTCTAAGCTCGTTCGAATGACAAAACGCCTGTTGTGCTCAGTACTGCATGCACCCTGTCTATCCCTGCAAGTCCACTAGAGGGAGAGAGATACTAAACTAAGCTTGCAACGAGGCCACTACGAGTAGAAGACCAAGGACATTTTTCCAATACATGCAGGAGAAGGAGATGAAGACTACATAATTTAAAAAAAAAAAAAAAAAAAGAGTAAGCTCTAACAGCTCCCTGGCAAACCAAAAGCACATCAACAAAATAATCTTTAATATTCCCCAGAAGTCATTTAGATTTCTGTGAACCTTAGCATAAAGCCACAGCTTTATGAATTTCTTAACAGTACACTCAGCTAGCATTAAAACTGGATTTCCTTCTACGAATAAAAATAACCAAAGTGCTGAAAGGAATTACCAAAATGAAAAACACAGCGGGAAATAAGGATACTGCAAGAATCAAACTTCCATTGTAAGCAATTTTGTAGAAGTGAGGTTTATCTATGCTGGATTTTATTACTTAGATTTTAAATGTTCTTTTAGATACACCAAGAAACACGGCAGTTTCTTTTGTTTTATTTTACAGGAAAGACAAGCTCTCCTCTTTAGGTACACATTTTTGAAGCAGTATCACAACAACAGCTAAGATACACATCATACAAACTTTTACAAGTCTAGCAGGTAAATAGGAAAAAACAAAACCAACCAATATATAGCATGTTGCCTTTCATGTACTAAAACAAACTGTATGTATGCATGTGAATGCTTTTACAACCAGCACTGCAAAATGAGATGGTTTGATAATAAACACCTGGAGCACATGAAACATTTACAGTCAAATAGTCCTTAGGAAAAGAGAACTCTAAGAGAAAACATCCAGGCAGAACAGGATACACAACTGGATTACTTCAGGTGGCAAAAGACATCTTAATTCTAGCTACCCTTTATTCTTTGGCCTCATATACAAGCACTGCAGAATGCATCATCCCTCTTGGTGCAGACAACTTAGAATCTAAAGGCAAGTTCTTGAAACAACTATCACAATGAAAAACCCAAAAGTCACCTTTCTTTTTTTTTTTTTTTGCTGCAGTTAGGACAGCTGTAGTAAGGTTACCCACAGCATCTCTTATACAAGAGAAAAAAACCTGGCACAGAAGAACTCTCTCTTGTTACAAGGGCAAACTTTAAAATTTAATGAGGACAAAAGAATTCTATTTGATTACATGAACACGAAAGTCTCTAGAAAGTCTTGTAAAATAAAATCTCCCTCTGTGGATGTCCCAATGTTATACTGATCATTTTGCTGTAATATCTATCTAGAATAGATCACAGATACCACATGAAAACCTAAAGCCATTAAATTCACCACTAAGAATTAAATCTTCAATATCACCTATTCTCCCACTGAAAGAGAACAAATGAAATAATAGATTTGTTGTCTAAGTTGTATGTGCTCATCTCAATGTTACTCCTAGGATCTGAAGTCTTGATGCAAGAGAACTGTATGGTAAGAACATTATTCTACTATCAAGAGGACAACACCAATTCCTAAGTTCAGAAGTAAAAAAAAAAAAAGTCTAAAATGTTCATGATAAACAATTACTCCTCAAGAAGGAAAAATACTGATACATATTAAAAACACTGAATAGTTTTAGAAATCCTGAAAAATATCCTGATTAAGAGTTACACATTTCTTGATCAGGCATTTTTTTTGTTTCCCAAAAAAAGTCGAGTCAGTAAGTTTCTACATATAAGTGATGCCACGAAAATGGATTGTTTTTAGAACTGCATCCACACGGACAGCATCAGGTTGAGAAGCACTATTAGTCAGTAGCAGTTCAGTACACAAAACACCCAAATAATTAAATGGACTAGAGGCTTAATCATGGCTAGAAGACCTACTGACTTCTCTGCATAAACATTTGAATTTTTTCATCCCTATTTGATCTACCTCCAAAAAAAAAAAAAAAGTTAAAAGACTTACCAGCTTCCTGGGAATTTAATACTTCTAAGGCATGCATCATGGCACTTGCAAAGACATTGGCATCTTCTTTGCTGCCAAAATTCAGACCATACACTTGTCTAGCATCACGCCACTGATGGAAGGTCTGTGTAGCCTGATTGTACTTGAGCCCTTTTGGAATGGCACAGTTTATTACCACCTACAACAGTTAACAAATGGAATAAATAAAATTGCTGTTTCATTGCAAGTTTCATTTCAATTTTATGGAGCAATATAAACAGTTTTGATTTTTGGTAACAGAGTAGTTGTGCAAATGCATCCAGATTTCAGAGACTGCCTTGGTCTTCCATTAACCTCAGAGTACTTGTTGAAAATATACATATATTCTAACGAACTTATCACCTTCCTCCTGTGGATGCTGCATCCCTTAGCTTGCAGCACTTTCAGCAGCAGTTTACATGGACTTCTACTATGCATCATAAGGCATCATCCTGCAAAATTGTTACAGCTCACACAAATGGTGATAAATTCTAACCAGTACAACCATTTATTACCAGCCATCCAAAAGATCTCATTGCATTTGGTAACTATATGCTCTCAGCTTTTTCCACTGACTATCAAAAAGAAAATTGTCCTCAGATGAATACACAGGTACTATTTATTACTTGCAGCAAGTTTTTAGTGACAAATCACACAAGGTATTTTCAGTCTATGCCCCAGGTACATGTTAGAAGATAAACAGAAGAGAAGCATTTCATGAAAAGCTGGAAAAGGGGTTATATAAAGAAATTCTCCTCAAACAAAAAAAGACTACAACTCCACCCCAAGTTATCACAAAGCACAGCAAATTTTACAAGAGTGCCAGTCAGTTATTTAATCAAGATCTATTAAATTCTTCATTGAGGAATTACAATATTATCAGTTCTGCTCCCCTCTCAAGCTCTCAGAGTAGTAGATTTTTTTTTTTAATAAATTGCTCTGAGGAAATGAGTAACCATTTAGCTAACTGCAGAGAACAGGGAAGAACAGAAGTCCTTAGACCCAAACTCTGACTTAAAAAGAGAATCGCATCATTTACATCTACACTACCACTCCTCCTTCCCAGAAAGGAAAGGTGAATACTGTACCAGGAGAATAATTTTAAATGTATACAAAGTGCTTAGTTTTATGGGGAAAAAGTCATAATAAAGTTTCCTTATTTGAATTCAAAATGAAAGTATATTTACTACTTGAAGTTCCCACATTACCAAAGATGCATTTCTTAGTGTTAAAAAGAAGCAAAAAATTAACGTTCGTATTCAGAATTTTTAGAGATTCACCTACCTGATGATCTTGAATCTTCCTGCCCACAACTCTGAACGTGTTGTTGCCTGTGTGATGATATATGTGAACTCTGCTGAATCCAGTTGATCCACCAGCTGGTACCCATTTCTTATTGGCATCATCGTAGACCATTACAGCAGCTCGTGCTTGGCAGATACTCTGTTCGCTGTTAACATACAAGTATTTCAGATCAGAACATTAAGATTACTTCAGGCAAATTCTTTTCACTCAAAAAGTTGAAGTAGCACTCCTTGCAGCTTTCTTACTTTCCGTTAACTCAAAACTGCTATCACTTTGACATTTTGCTAACAGGCAATCATTCTGAACATGTACAGTCAAGACAAATGCAGTATAACTACTAATGAAAAAAGCATTTACTTTTTTTTTTTCCTGCACTTTTTCTTAGCGGTTTTCTTTATGTGTTTTCTTTTATCCTCTCCATCAACTATGAGCTTTCTAATTAAACACTAAAGCTACATGCAACATTTTGGACTACTAGTAAAGAGCAAATAATCTGGAACTGTACAAGCTTCATACAATTTGCATTTTCCAAGGGGTAACTAATTCTACAAGAAGTTAAGACTGCAATGTCCAGGCTCCTATTAATATGTATGAGGAAACGAATGCAACTGCATGCATACATAGATGCTAGGATGATGTTCAGCACACACAAGTTAATCTACCCATAAATGAAATGCTTTTTGGTTTTGATATATTTTACATCAGTTCACACCTAGAATTTACATTTCCTTCCTAAGTAAGTGTTCTGCTAATTACTGAAAACTGCAATTTCAACATCAGAGGACTTTATTGACATTCACAGCTAATCCTGATTACAGCAGTCATCCGGAAGCTAAGGTACAGCCTAAAATTAAAGGCAGAAAATCACAAATGGCATCATAATAGAAATGAAACTAAGGAAAGCAGAATGTACTGTAAACATGATTTATTGCAGGGGTGTGGATGGGACAACACAAATTGTCTTTGCGGGAAAAGTCCAGATGCAGACAGGACATAAAAATAGAAAGGAATGATTTCTTATCAGTATGCCAAATTCTCTGAACATTGCACTTCAGCAGACCCAGCATTACAGAAAACACATGAGATGCCTGGCTTGCAAGGAATGCAGTGCACCATTTGGAGAACAGAGAAAACTGAGGAGACATGCTTCTTTTTTTTCTTTTTAATAAATAACAAAAGGACAGTAACGAAATATTTGTTCATAACATATAAAGGTGGAGAAGACAACTCCCCCCACATTCCTACTGAAAGACATCAAGAGATTTTCCAATATCTCATCTGCATCTCCTGACACAAGAAAATACAGAAACACATCCAGCCGTTTTGCTAGCTTTCAGTAACAATGGTTTTGACAAAACACTGCACCAATTTCCATCACACTTCCCCCATGGCTTTCTAGCTAACAGAGTAAATGCTCAACACCAGAATGGTGGAGAAGAAAGAATACAGAGATCATGCTTCCTACAGCAGCGACAGATTCAAGATCAGGTGAAGAAATACACTCTCAATTCTAGAATGACATGTATTCTAATCTCACTATCTAAGCTCATAACAGGAGAACAATCTCTCAGTGGGCCACCTTTTTTGCAGACAGAAATTAGGTGAACACAAGTAGAGTAAGAGTATAACGTATGAACTATACTGGGAAAAGAAGCACTGTATACATATCTTAAAATCTATCGCTTAGACCTGAAGGACCACATCTGGTCCAAAGAGAAATGCAAAGACTCTTGTAATCCTGTAAATAAAACAAGCTGCAAATCTCAGATGCTTCACAAGTCGTATTAAAAAGCACAGCACAGGTAGATGGTGTTCCTTCATCTGAGAGGAACACAATTCAAGAACATATTAGATTTCCCTATTTAGAGTCTTCTGGCAACAATCTTGGCAATGTTCAGATCCAGAAGTGCTCTGCACTGATCACAAAGTACAAAATAAACAGCAGTGGTTTTCTACATCACATTGTAGTTTTTCTGAACCTACAACAGTTTTGCTACATCTGAATCTGGGTTCACCTTAAGCATGATAAACCATACGTGACAGGACAGAGATACTGATTTGGAAACAGAGCCACGTGGTTTGCAGAGTTCCCATCAAAAAATAAATTCATCTCAGACTCACAATCGTGGCAGACAAAAAAAATCATTTAGATCCTATTAAAAATTGAGACAATAAGCTAATACATTCCAATTACAGCACGGTAGTACCAGAGAATGATTAAGTAATGGTACAGTGATCAGAAGACTTAATTAGTCGTACAGACCATCAAATTCAGATGCTCTTTTTCAGTGCCTTCTTATTCTCTGCCCTACCACAGTCCTTCCATGTGGCTAAGCTCTGGAGAAGCTCTGTTTTTACATGATTATTTTTTTTTTTTCCAACATAAGAAAAAAACTACTTATTTTACAACTATTCAGAATGTAAGTGGCACAATTTAAAGCACAAACAAAGCAGCCTTGAGTTCTACTTCCAGCTTTTCTTTAACAACTGTTCTAATTATTTTTAGTTCCACTTTTCAGGCTATGCCTTACAACTGGAAATACTATACAAAAGTCTCAATCACTAATATTTCATGCTCCATTTGAAATAAAATAATTTTCTTAATAGCAGTAGGTAATTCTTACCCATACAAAGATACAGGATGATTCACATCGTTTAAAAAAGGCAAATACCAACAGTTTCCAGTTGACCTACTTGATTATTACAAAATAAGCACTCTACCTTCATTTCACACAAATCCTAAAACTAAAATTTTCACATTGCATGCCTATAATTTTCCTATCCAGGTACCAATTTGAAGGCAGCAAACTCCCCTCCTGCTAACAGCTCCCACCATCCATCACTTTGTTTACCAGCCCGCAGCATTTAAGATAGACAAATGAAACCATTGCTATCAGAAACAAATTAAACCATCACAGTGTGCTAGTCTTTTCCCAGCGTTCAATAATTGTACTTTACTACACAGAGGGAAATGAATTCAATTTCTTTCTCTTAGGAAAAGTTCTGCACTCTAAAATGACTGCTACTTATTGTGAAGAATAGTAGGAAGGCATGATCTCTAGCAGAAATGGATTCTCAGGCCTTCTCTTCGACGTTTATTTGAGTACAACAGCCAACACTACAAACTAAATATGCTAGGCTCCCTCCCAAAATTCTCCTTTTTTAAAACAAGAGTCATACCTGAGCTCCTGACCTCACAAGGCTACACCAAACCAAACAGCCATGAGTGTACCTCACCAGCACGTCACAGGCAGGTCTAATTAAAAACAAGGCTTTATTTTCTTTCCTTGATCCACCTTCTCCAAGGAAAGCACCAAGTTTTATGCAACGACTGTTAACCAGCACCTCACCCATACTCTTCATATTTCTCCACTATACACAAACTTCAGTTCAAAAGGGATGGGAGTCAAATGAAACAGAAGAGTGCTCCTTATCATATTCTTTGTTCTTCACGTTTATTGCACTTCCCTACTGTATTTCCAACAGGAAGAAGGTCTTCACTCATCTCAGTATTTATACGTGACCTCTTTACAGCCCACAGAGGCTGTAATGCCTGTGTTCCTTTGACTGCAGTACTCAACTGTCAGATGTAAGGAGACAACTTCCTTCATCACCTAAAAGCCACTGTGGTATTATTACAGCACACATTTTCAGACAGATTGGGAATGAGCAAGTTCTCTACAGTGATGCAGAGGAACAAATGGAAAAGGGTCATCACCTCCTTGCCATGCCACTAGGCCTTCTAAAGCACCCTTCATTGACTCGCATCTCTACATTTTTTCCTTCTTCTGGTGTATTTCCCAGTGTAACAGTCCCAGGAGCTGTTACATTCTGACTAGCCAACAGAAGCTCTTGCTGGGGTATGTGGGAGAACAAGCAAGACATCTCCCTCCAGCTTCCAAGGCTGCTGCCAAAACACGCAGCTGTTTCCAGGGGCTGACTGCCAGCTCACTGGGCCAGTGGGCTGCAGAACTGAAGTGACAATCTAAATCTTCACTCCATTAAATGAAGTGATTATCTATTTCCAAGTAAACTTGCTGAAATAAGCATGTGAAATGATATCCACAGAAAGGAAGATTTGTGCCTAAACAGCGCTTACCAAACCTTAGGAAACAAAGCATACAAGCCCTCTCCCCAAAATTCAAAGCTTAACAAATATCTGGATAAATATACGTTAGCAACAGTTCTATAGACATAAAGCTCTGACTGTTGAAGCCAACTATTATTCTGAATAAATCCACCTACAGCAATATTATATAAAGCTGAAGACAGGGGGGCTGTTTTTTGTTGGGGGTGGGGGGAAGTAAGGGGAGGTCTGGCACTCAAAAAGCTCACACAGAAAAATATAGTAGTAATGAATCATAAGATTGTTCTTAAGGGAGAATATACTTTCCTCCTCCAGCGATGAGATCATATGGAAAGTTCAAAAACCACAGCAAACTGACCCCTAACAGACATGATTCCTTTGCCCAAATGGAATGTGCTCCCTCTTTCACATTCCAAGTTCTTAAGCTCAGTGCACAGTGACACCAGCAGTCTGCTGAGCTAAGCCTCCCCCAGCAAAGGAGCTGCTTGTTTTCCCTCCATTAAGGGATAAAAAAGGATGAAGGTTGTAGATGATCAAATGCATACAGAGAAGTGCAGGACTGCAGCCATAGAAAAGACAATTCAATATACCAACGAAAGCAAGGAGAAGGTTCAGAACCTGAGCAGTCTCAGCCTTTAGTATGTTACTGATACAACAACTAGAGTCATGTTTGTTAAGTCATATCCACTACCACTTCTTTTGGCTATTCAGTGGTTTTTTTGGCTGGTATTTTCCCAATTCACGGAAACAACATTCCCAAATGAGCAGTCTTTGTAGGTCAGAAAGGAATGGAAAGATGCTGATTCACCAAATGCCTACTTAAGATTTTCAAACTGCAACACATAGCTAGAAAACCACAAACAATCCTAATACTGATGTCTTAAAATGGAATTTTACAAGCAGCACAATGTAGGTCAAAATATCCAGCTCTGTACCTAGGTGGAGTTTTGAAAGATGATTCTCTCTGGTTGTTCCTGAACCCCTACTGGCATGATACAGTGAGAATGTGCGTTCTCCACTCTGTTATTAAAAGAAAATATACCTGGTACTGCAGCACT